TCCTGCTTTCTTCTTCTCGAAGAGTTTCCACGAAGCAAAGAACTTGAGGGAGGCAGTGTAGGGCTGTGGTGAAAGTCTTTCCAGCTGGTCTACCTAAATAAATGTATTCAGTAGAAGTGACTGGGTTCAATCTGTTGTTCTGTAATCCCTTTTTTTGGGGGGGGAGACTGAGATGCACCAGAGTCCTTCAGGACTTCTTCAGACATCTTCACACAGCTCTAGCACTTCTGCAAGCAAGGAGATGATTTGACCCCAGCCCATCCAGGCTTTATCCTCAGGCTCTTAAGACCTGAACTTTGAAGGATGCTGGGAAGATGTGTAGATATGGTGCTTAGTGACATGGTTGAGTGGTGACCTGGCAGCACTGATGACTTGATGATCCTAAAGGTCTTTCCCAACCTAAATGATTCTCTGGTTCTATGAAGAACCAGGCAGATGTGGAGGATGTGGCTTTATTTTCTTCCTGCACCTCCCATTTTGCTTCCAAGCTCAACACTTGTATTTTATGTAGTTTCAAGCTCATTGTTGTTCTCCCGTGGCCTTTTGAGCTTGGCTACAAAGGGAACTTCAAAAGGCCTGTTCCCTGCACAGTTTCATTAATGGGCATCCCCATTAATTACCCCTCTTTATCTTTGGGAAGATGCTGCTGCTGGAAGCACTCTTTTTTCTTATTTTCCCCTCAAGCCTCATGAGCCAGCAAGGAGTACGTAGCAATCCTGGCATTGTTACCATCTTCTTGGGGACATGAGAGCACGTTGGGCCCTGAGGTGGAGGGGCTGATGTCTTTTCTCCCTCTGCCTTCTCTCCACAGTCAGCATCTCGCCGGGTGGGGCTCTCCTGTGCCAGCCGTCCCGCACCTCGCTCGGGCGCAGGACCGCCGAGGGGGAGCCTGTCTGCAATGCCTGTGGCCTCTACATGAAGCTCCACGGGGTAAGACCTTCCCTGGCCTCTGCTCGCCGTGGGGAGGGTGCCCACAGCACCAAGCTGGGGGCAGGAGTTGGGTGCAAGACTCTTCACTCTCCTGGAGAGGTTTTTTCCCCGTGGGTTTTAGTCGCCGTCGCGTCGTGTTTATACTGGCAAGGGGTGATGAGGTTCAAAGAAGCCAAGGGTTGGGTCCTGCACTGGGTCACACAACCCCCTGCAATGCTCCAGGATGGGGGAAGAGTGGCTGGAAAGTGGCTGGTGGGAAAAGACCTGGAGGGGTTGGTCAACAGATGGCTGGAGATGAGATACTGTGTGCTTAGGTGGCCAAGAAGCCACCAGCATCCTGGTTTGTGTAAGAAAGAGGACTAGGGCAGGAATCATCCCCCTGTCCTTGGCACTGGTGAGGCCACACCTCAAATAGTGGGATCAGTTTGGGGGCCTCACTACAAGAAGGCTCTTGAAGGGCTGAGGCATGTCCAGAGCAGGGCAATGAATCATAATTCTATGATTTTATGGATACAGGGCATTTTTTTGCATATCAATTTGCATACCCTTTGCATCCAGGTCTTAAAATCTAATAAAACTAGGCCCAAATTCTTCCCACCTACATTCCAGCACTTTGGTGAAAAAACCTGAGCCAGAAGCACAAATAAGGGCAGAGCTCCTGCACATGAGGTGTCAGATCCCAGCTGAGACTTGGCTGTAGACTTGCTGTGGGACTGATAAATGACTTTTCTTGCACAAGTGTCCAGATAGCCTCTTCCTCTCAGTGGGAGCTTCATATATCTATGTCATATCTGATATATCTAGAAGAGCCCTGTTGGAGTCTGAGACATACCAGGACTTCAAGATGGAAATCTCCAATCTTTCTCCCATCAGTCAGTAGCAACAGGGCAACACCCATGCCAGAGACAGAGACCTTCAACACCTTGATGATTGCTTAGTAGCAAGCCCCAGTTCTGCTTCTCATTGCTACTTCCAGGGGCTTTATACATGTCCATGATCTCAGTGGTGTCCAGTCAGACAGCAAGTATTAGCCACAAATAGGTCTTCTGCTTGGAGTTAGACAGGAAAGTAAATCCCATGGGCTGTTGTTCTCTTCTGGCCTTAAAACCCTCTATATCCATGGTGTGAAACCTCTACACGTTCCCATTTGGATGCACATCTTGTAGCTTTCACATATCCCTTCATACAGCAATGCTGGCCAGTGACTTTGGGCTCCATCTTATTGCTTTGAACTAAATCATCTGCTTTTCATGGAGCCTACGAGGTAGAGCTGGAATCATGTTCTTCTAGATGACCTTATGGCCATACAGAAACCAACGTGTTCATTGGTTAACCTTTTCTGTTTGGGTTTGCAGGTTCCAAGGCCCTTAGCAATGAGAAAAGAGGGCATCCAGACAAGGAAGCGCAAGCCAAAGAACCTTAACAAAACAAAGACATCTGCAGGTAGGTGTTGAACCAGGGAGTTCAACCAAGGAGAACCAGGAGAACAACCAAGGGTTGTTCTTGGGGTGTGGGTACAGCTCTGGACTGGAAGGTTTTGGGGAAGAGCCTGATCTGCTTTCTGCTTTCTCACAGGTCCATCCAGCAGCGAGAGTCTTACCCCAACCACCAGCTCCACCAGCAGCAGCAGCAGCAGTGCCACCACCACTGAGGAAATGCGGCCCATCAAAACAGAACCTGGGCTCTCATCTCATTACGGGCACCCCAGCCCAGCTTCTCAGGTACAGAGGGGAGGGCTGGCAGTGGGAGAAAGATGGGGACTGGGGTGGTAGACCTAGTGGGAAGGACATCCTCAGAACTTCTTTGGAAAAAAGGCTGCCTCTTTTCAATCTAGGGGTTCACAGTGAGAGATCTGTCCTCTAGGATAGGGGAAAACCCCCAACTTCTGGTCACCATGTCTACTTATTCCTCTTCAATCATGTGTGGCAGCTCTGGAAGGACAACAAGAAGGAGCAGCTTTGTTGAGGACATGGAATTCCTTCTGGCTTTCCAGATCTGGAAGCTGATCTCTGTCCAAGTGTAACAACTTGCTTTGGTTACTGATCCCCCTCCCACAGCATCACTCAGTAGAACCACACAACTACAGAATCAGAGAAGAGTTTAGGTTGGAAAAGACTTCTGATCATCAAGTCCAACTGTTAACCCATCACTGCCAGGTCACCACTAAACCATGTCCCTCAGCACCTCCAGGGATGGGGACTCCAGCACTGCCCTGGGCAGCCTGGGCCAGTGTTTAGCTACGTTTTTGGGGAGGAAATTTTTTCCTCATATCCAACCTAAACCTTTCCAGGCACAACTTGAGGCCATTTCTTCTTGTCCTGTTGCTTGTTCCTTGGGAGAAGAGACCAACCCCCACCTGGCTCCAGGCTCCTGTCAGGAGCTGTGCAGAGCCAGAAGGTCTCTCCTGAGCCTCCTTTGCTCCAGGCTCAACAGCTCCAGGGGCCTCAGCTGCTTCTCTTAAGATTTGTGCCCTAGACCCTTCCCCAGCTTTGTTGCCTTTCTTTGGACAGCCCCTCAAGGTCCTTCTTGGAGGGAGGGCCCCAAAACTGAACCCAGGATTCAAGGTGTGGACTCACCAGTGACAAGTCCAGGGGGACAATCCCTGTCCTGGTCCTGCTGGCCTCACTTTCCAATATAAGCCAGGATGCTGTTGGCCCTCTTGGCCACCTGGGCATATGATGGCTGGTTGGCCCTCTTGGCCACCTGGGCATACAATGGCTGATGTTCAGCCATCTGTCAATCAACACCCCCAGGTCCTTATCCACCAGGCACTTTCCAACCACTTTTCCCCAACCCTGGAGCATTGCATGGGATTGTTTCGACCCAAGTGTAGGACCTGGCACCTGGCTTTGTTGAACTTCATACTTTTGGTCTCTGTCCATCAATCCAGACAGCACAGATCCCTTTGAGGAGCCCTCACACCCTCAAGGAGACCAACACTCCTTCCCAGCTTGGTGTTGTCAACATATGATAGTTGTTCTCCTTTTGAGTTCACACAGGGAACTCCTGTTTGCTCCCTGGAGAAAAAAAATATATGGTGGAGTGTTGTGCTGGACTGAGGTCCTTCCCAACCATGGTGATGCTATGATTCTATGTGGTCCTCTATGGTTTGAAGCTTTGTTCACAAGATTTTCCCTTTTTCCATAGGCATTCTCAGTCTCTGCCATGTCTGGACATGGATCATCTATTCACCCTGCCATTTCAGCTCTGAAGCTTTCCCCGCAGGCTTACCATTCAGCTATCAGCCAGTCTCCACAGACCAGCTCCAAACAGGACTCCTGGAACAGCCTGGTGTTAGCTGAAAACCACGGGGACATCATAACTGCATAACCTGGTCTTCCACCCATGAACTTCAGGCTCATCCGCCTGAGAGATGAAGAAGATGCCGTGTAATCATCAAGACAATGTTGTTTCCCACCTCCCCTGCTCTCCTGCCTTCCCTCCCTTGGTGAGATGTTCCAGCAAAGAGGTAAAGAAGACTGATCTGAGGTGTGGGAGAGCTCTTATGAAACAGAGAAGACTCAAATCTCAAAGTAACTGATGGATTTGAAACCTTTCTTCCCACTTTAAATGAGCCTCTCTTTGATTGTCACCTCCTTCTGTGAAATAGCCAGAAACACAAAGATGGACTCAATTCTTGACTTCTGTTTATTTAAAAATATCTGGCATTTAAGACTCAGACAATGGTGGAGCAGAGACATTTTTTTTCCTACTCTCACCATCCATTCTTTTCCTGACCAGAAGAAAATGCCATCATCTTCTCATTACCCATATTCAGTGATCTTCCACCAAATGGAGCCAGTTCCAGGACGGTTTGTGGAACGGACTCCACTAGACCTGCTCACTGATGGCTTTATATGGATTTGATATGATCTAGGGCAGAGATAAAAAGAGACCTTCCCCCCCAAACCCTCCTCAGCTCACACATCTAGATGATCTGAAAAGCTAATGAATGTCCATATTTAATAGTATCTCCTTTCCTATTTATCATTACAAAATCATGGGACTGTGTTTCCAAAAGGTTGTTGGTCAAGCCTGGAGAAGCTCTGCTCAAAGTCAACGGCGGATTTTGGAAGGAGGGAGCTCTTCACCTTCTGGGAGCAGGTAGAGGAGACCTACGTTGGCCATCAAACCCTGGAGGACACTGCTGGGCTCTTCCCTTATGGATACAAGCCAGGCTTAGAGATTATTCAAGAGCACAGCAAGCAAAAGAAGCTTCTCCCACGCTGCTGTGCAATTGCTTTTGAGACAGTTAATTTAACTACTTTGCATACTTTTACATTGGTTTTGGTGTCATTGATGAAATCTGATTGTCATGTAGTTTTGGCTGTAGTGCCCCATTTCCCTCTAACAACTGGCTCGGGAGCATTTCACACATCTAATCCTTTAGGATTCCACCCTTTGCCACAAGCAAAGGCTTCAGCCTCTAACGGAGGTAGACAAGGGCTGGGTTCCTTCCCAAGCATGTGCATAGACTTGCTTGCCTGCAAGAGAAGCATAACTCCAACCATGCATGAATGTTAAACACCACGTGGGGTTCTCCTTGCCCATAAGGCTCTCAGCAACCAGGGCACTCTAGCAGGTGGAGGAGGAGGAGATGCTGAGAGCTCACTGACTCATTCCCTTCCCCCGAAGGGATGGTTCTACCTAACCTAGCCCTGACTGCTCTTTCTCTAGCATGTGCTTAACAAACTCCTGCAGAGCAGATGCCACAGCTCCCCTGTGCTCAAGGGCTTCACCAGATGCTTGCCACGACGTTTTCATCAACATTTCTGAGGAGGGACAGCTTTGCCTGAGAGACCTTCCAGCTTCTCCTGGGAGACTTCATCCCATAAGATTCTCCACTCTTGTTTCTGTCCACTCCCAAACTCTGTTACTCTTTTTTTGCACTCCTAGCTCCTCTCTTTTCCTCCCAGCATCCAGAACTCATGTATGGGACTATCAAGTGAAAACCTAGAAGAGGGATTGTGCATCCCTCACAAACGTGCCAACCTCTGTCTCCCACTGTTTAACATTCCCTCAAAGATTGTTTTCCACCCAAACACCAAGATACATGGCTTGGCGAAGAGGAAAAGCCACAGACATGTTTGGAGCAAAAGAATTGCATTGTGTTGTCTTTGTTTGAACTCATAATTTTCCTCTTGATGGTAGAAAAGCTTCTTTAAGGAGAAGGATTCAACTGGACTGGTTGTGATCAAGACTGGGACTGGAGTCATGGTAGAGACCTGGACTCTCCCACATTCCCTGTGCTCTGTGTAACTCAGATCTGCAGGGTTTTGGAGGGGTGACAGGGCCTCTGCACTCCCAAGAAAAAAACACCATGGCACTGATGCCATGGGAATGGCTGGGTGGTGTTTCCACCAGAGTTTTCACTCTGTCTTGCTGAGCTAATGCAGGGCCCAGACTCATTACAGATAAAAAAAACCCCAAAGCCATTCATTAAACACGAGTAAACATAAATGAAATTCTGTGATTCTGCTCAGGCCTGGTTGGCTTCAGAGAAGAGACCAGAAAGAGCACCTGAAAATATGAATTTTGGGTGAAAACTTAAAAGTGTTTCTCCCCAGGCATGCAGATCTTTAGGCAGCCTCTTCCTTGAACTATATTCCTTTGGAAATGGTGGTGGAGCTCTTAGGATCTGGCTGTGAATTCCTGTCCATTACAGAGGGACACACACCACAGAGATGCCACGTGGCTAATACACACACTTGAAAACTACTAGAACTCCCTAGAACTACTCTGGACAACCTGAGAGGGAGAGGAAGGTGGCCTCCTGGAGAGGAGCTAGCATCCAGACCAACCACACACCCCATTTTGCTTTCCATAGGAGAGCTCCCAGAGTCTCTCTCCACCTTGCCTCGTTGCTACACGTCTCTGACTGCCCTCAAGGCTGAACTCCCTGCCTGAATTTTTTCTCCTGCCCTCAAAACACACTCTGAGGTGCCAAAAAGGAGTTTGTTTGAAAACCCTGGCAGGAGACGAGCCTGCCTTATTCTCCCTCAGGTTGTCTAAATGACCAATTTGGTAATTGGTTCTTAGCATTCATCAAAGCTGTAAAAATAATTCTTGAAAGAGTGAGGAGCATTTTCAAGGACCCTGATAACAGAACAAGATCTGTGCATTAAGAAAGTGAGGCCCTGGGGGCTGTGAGGACAACTTGGCTCTCTTTAGTGCTAGAAATTAACTCTTTTGACCCCCCTTTTACACCACAAGCAGCAGAAGTTCAGTTACACCTGACTCTGTTGTTCTTCTCATTCACCCTAAATTCTTGTAGAGCTATTGACCACCCTCACGGTGGAAATGTTTTTCCAAATAAATGTTTTATTCTAATGAGAGGTGAAAAAAAAAAATTGGTAAATGAATTGCTCAGACTTGGGGAGTCCCAAGCAATGAGTTATTGCAGGAGAGCAAACGTTGTCTCCCAGCCCAGGAGTCACACAGAGCCCCTTCTTGTAGGTAGGAGCTGGGATGGCCAATGCAGGGTGACAAACACCAGAAATGACTGAGGACAATCATGGGAGAAGAGGATAAAAGCACTACCAGTTTGAGGACACTCAGCTCATTCTAGCAGGAAGGGCAACTTAGAAAATTCTGGGTCCCATCTGAGCTCTGTGTTCCTCCCCGTGGTGGGGGGAGGCATTTAGAGCCTGTTCTGATAATGAAAGTAGATCTAATTATCAGGCAAGATAATTATTGCTATTATTAATGCTATAATACATTTCATTGAGGCGTGGCTGGAGGACCAAGTGAGGACCAGACCAGAAGAGGTCCTACACAACCGCAGGACCACGAACCACCCCAGCTCTGAGGAAAGGGCTCAGTCCTGCAAAACACTTAAGCACATAAATAAATAACTCGGTGGGATTTGTTCCCTGAGAGGTTATCAGCCATTTTTCACACACAAATTTTGATGTCGAAGGGTTTGCAGCACCAGGACACCACCAAGCCAGACCTTTGCAACAGCTCAGTGGCCACCAGAGTGAAATGAGCAAATGAGAACTGGGATGGGGAGCCAGAAGGGTAGAAAGGTCATTTAACCATTTCTAAATGTCTTTTCTCTTTGTGGAAGTGCAATACCTGGATTCACTTCAGCTCTTCTGTAAATCCACCAGAAGAAATCCATATTTCACTTGCAGTCTTACAGGCTGACTGGAGAGGGTGCAATCAGGAGGAGCTCCAAAATATTGTAAGGGAGCTTTCAAACCGATCAACAACTCTTAGTCCAATCTCAAAGCTGTGACTGTGTCAAGGGTGGTGTTTTGTTTTGCTTTATCTCCCCAAGTCTGAAGCTTCCCGTGTCATCTGGGAAGGTCCCATGGCAACAGACACTCATTTGTAAAGGGGAGAGGGAAACCAACCAACTGAACAAGCTGTAATTATTTAAAGATGTAAAAAAACCCCTATACATTATGAAGTAGTATGGCTACCAATCCACTTAACGTCTACACCTTTAGAACTAATGGAAATAAAACAAGGATAATAAAACCAGAAAGCTGCTGCTTGACTCTGACTACCCTGGTGGGCTCCTTGGAGTGGGCTGGAGGTGACTGATCACACATGAAGTGCACCTGGAGAAGCAATGGTACAATGGGTCCTGGCCTCCAGAGCTCATAACGATACAATTACAGAGTAATTAAAACCAGGAGGGACTGGATCAGGTTTTTCAGGGCCCTGCTCAGCCAAGGGTTGAATATCCTCAAGGATGGAAAAAAGCCTAGAGCTTCTCAGGGTTCTTGTTCCAGTGTTTGAGTGCTCTCATGGTGGAAACATCCTTCCAAGTAAACATTAGAGGCAAAATCATCACTAAATTAACTACTGATTAATTTGCTAACTGGGGAGTACCAATCAATGGGTCATTACAGGAGACTGACTGTGTCTTCAAGCCCTGGAGTCACACTGAGCTCCTTCTTGAATGCAGGATGACAAACACCAGAAGTGACAGGCCAGGAGCAATTCAAGGCCAGGTTGGATGAGGTTTTGAGAAACCTGGTCTAGTGGAAGGTGTCCCAGCCCACGGCAGGGAATTTGGAACTAGATGATCTTTAAGTCCCCTTCCAACCCAAAATATTCTATGATTTTGATACAAAATGGGGAAAAGCACCCAATGTGTTTTCCAGGTAGCAGGTAAGCCCCTTAGCAGAGCAGAGAGGGGAAAAAGCTCTTCAGTGCACTTCAACACCATCCTGACTTCTCCTTTTGGCCTGCTCACTGCCATGTTTTTCTGTAGTAGGCTGGTTTTGGCCTAAATGCTCCCAGCTGAACTCAGAGACACCACCCTCAAGCCAAAATCAGATACCAGAAAGAGCTGCACTTCTCGATGACCTTTGGGGGTCCCTTCCAGCCCAGACATTCTATGACTCTGCAGAAGGTAGAGGTGACCAAGTAGAGTCCTCCTATGAGTAACCAACCTTCCCCCTGGGGTGCCCAGCTGCTTTCCTAGTCCAACCAGTCCCTGAATATCAGTGCAACTGGTGGGGTGAGTATGACCAGCACTTGAAACCCCACCCATTCCTCTCCCACCAGCCAACAGGTGATCTTCCTCTCCTATAAAAGTGGGTGGGGTAGAAAGGCTTTGAATGGAGAAGGTGAGCTTGAGAGTGGGTAGGTTGTTTGTGGAGAGGGTGGAGCTGCTCTGGGAGGTGGCTTGGGATGCTGGAAGAAGAACTGGAGGTAGAAGGAAGGGCTCTGGAGCATGGAGGAGCAGAAAGGGAGGAAGGGTGTGTGGTCTGTTCCCTAGGTGCATGCCCAGGGTGGACCTGGGAGGGGCAGTCACTGGAGGGCTGCAAGCAGGAGTGATGGGGCTTGGGGAAATGCAATGGATGCCCCCACTGTCCTGGGGACAGATGGGTGAGGATGGGTTGGAAACTCTGGATGCAGTTGTTTTGGAGAGCTGCAGCTTCATGCTTGGCTGAGTATGAAATTGAGGAGCTCTGCACCTCCCCTAGATGCATGTGGAGGGTGAAGACTGAGACTTGAAGTGCCTGCAGAAGCCATGTGCAGAGGTGTGAGGCCACAGTGGGGCTTCCTCTGCAGCAGGGTGTGGGGCAATCCCTGGGTTGAGGCAGATGAACCCAGTAGCCTTGTCCTTGTGTCCCAGGGCAGGTACCTGGCTTCTGTCTGAGCACCAGGGCTGGAAATGAGTCTGTGCTTGGAGAAGGCTTCTCCTGGAGGGCTGTCTCCCTGCCCCAGAGCTGCTGTGGTACTAGGCTTGGTGGCTTGCTGGGACAGGCTGTAGGGGGTGGTGGTTGTGATCTTGGGGAGATGGGTGTCATGTCCTGCAGAGGCCTGGGGCTTCTTATCCTCCTCTTCCTCCTTGGAGGGGGAACATTTTGGAAGAGACTGAAGTAGGTATGGAGTGTAAGTGTGAAGTAGGGAATTTTGGAAGAGACTGAAGTAGGTATGGCGTGAAAACGGAACATAGGGAGGTCCATGGAGAGAAGGGAGAGATCAGAAACAGCAGATAGTGATTCTTCTGATATTCTGATATCTAGGGGGAAAGGGCAGGTTCTCCTCTTGAAGAGGAGCATTACCCTGCTGTCCTGAGAGGCTACAGCTGGGAGAGCATGTGCACTGAAACCTTACCAAGCTCTTGGTGCTGGTGGTCTCTCAGGATGAGCCTGCTGTGAGCTGGACTAGCAGGAAGCAGAGGTGTGCAGCCCTGCAGGTCATGAGCTTCCTCAGGGTCTGAGCTTTGTGAGCTGTCCTGGGGCTCGTTCTGTGCTGCCTGATGTTTTGGGTGGAACTGGAACAGGGCTGTGAATAATCATCCCATGTCCTAGAAGACTTGTGGGAAAAAGTTCCCTCTTTCACTCCTGGAAAAGCTAGTTTGAATGACCAAATAATATCTTTAATTTTATGTCTTGGATCTAGGTGATGTTACCTGGTACGTTTTCATAGAATGGTTTGGGTTGGAATAGACCCTTAAAGGTCATCTAGTCCAACCCCTCTACACTGAGCAGAGACATCTGCAACTTGGGCAGGCTGCTCAGAGCCCTGTTCACCCCAAATGTTTCCAGGGATGGAACTGACCACCTCTCTAGGCAGCCTGGGCCAGGGTGTCACCACCTTCATTGTAAAGAATTTCTTCCTTCTGTATAGTCTGAATCTCCCTCTTTTAGTTTCAAACCATCCCCCCCTTGTCCTCTAACAAGAAGCCATGACAAAAAGTCTCCCCCCATGGTTCTGATAGGGCCCTTAAGTACTAAGAGGCCACAAGAAGACCTCATTCCTTACTGAGTTTTTCCTCTTGAGCTCCTCCAAAAGGGCTTTGGTTTGTGGTGCAGCACAAGGCTCTGCAGCCATGCTGCCTGGCCTCCTCCTGCTGAGGAGGTGTCCACATCTCACAGCCGTGAGGAGATGGCTGCTGGCTTTAGTGCCTCTTCTGGGCCAAGTGTGGACAAGGATGTCCCCTTCCTGAAGACTTGGGCTTCACAGCTGCTGAGCTGATTCAAGTGTGGGTGCCCAGGAGAAGCTGAGATGTTAGCACAAGGTGGGAATGACTCTTCTGGTGGGTGATCATGTACAAGATTGCTCTTGATTTTCACATCAAGCTCTCTCAGAGCTGTGCCAGGTAGCTCAGAGCCTTGTACCAATTGCTGTGGAGCTGGAAGCTGAGCCTCTGGTCAATGCTGGTCTCTGGGATTAGTCTGCAGGGGGGTCTGGTGCTGTGGGATGAAAGCCAAACTGTGCTCCCCTTGTCCTGGGGCCTGCTTTCTTGTACTGCCAGAAGTCCTCAGAAGAGCTGTGACGTGGCTGGGCCAGAAATAACTCCTTGGTGTGACTTCCTGGAGGGAGCTACAGGATGCTGTAGGCAGGTGCTGCTTCATCTCCTCCTTATGCAGAGTCTTCTGATCCTAGATGCTGCTGGTAGAGTGGATGAATGCTCCTCAGCTGGCCCCATGCCACTGCAGCTGGTGGGGCAAGCAGCTGGTATGGCCAGGGAAGGGGATGAGCACCTCCAGTGCTGGTCAGGGAGCAGCACTTGCTGTGGTGGCTCTATCAGGAGGAGGATGACTCGCTGGTCTGCACTGGTTTGGGTTGAGGAATGTCTTGGTAAGGTTGTGTTCATCCTCTGTATGGGATGCCAAGGTTGTGACTGAGGGAATGGCTGGAGTTAGGTGAGCTCTTGTCTCTGGTGAGGAGAGAGCAGCCAAACAGCCTGACTCCTGGTGGATCTGCAGTAGGAAGGGACCTCATTCAAGGTCAGGCTTGATGAGGCTCTGAACAGCTTGACCTAGTGGATGTCCCTGTTTATTGCTGGGGGGTGGACTAGATGATCTTTGGAGGTCCCTTCAAGCCCAGACATTCTATGATTCTGGAGACCCCCAGGCCAAACCCCTGCTTGTGGAGCAAACGCCACCATTAAAGCTGGTTGGAATTATGAATATCCCAAAGAATGGAGATTTCCCCCACCTCCCTGGGTCTGTTTCTCTTCACAAGCTTTGCCAGAGGGACTCGAGGAGGAAAACGGGAGATGAGGAGATGGTGGCGAGCTCAGTCTCTGGCTGGTTTTGTGTATTTCTGAGCTGCAACTTTCCCTCAAGTCTAGGGCACCAAGTGTGAGAAGGACCTGCTGGAGATGCCGGAGGGCCCATCGGTGAGGAAGTTTCAGCTGCTGACCACCCCTTTTGTGGGACAAGTGGTGGCCAAGGTGGGGGGAAGCAGCCGGAAGATCAATGTGAACGACCTGAATGCCTTGAGACTCCAGGACTCCCAGGTGAGTGGTACTGAAGATGAACTTATTGCTCCATGCCAAGCCTGAGGCAAACCACCATTGTCCTGGATCTGGGTCACAGAAGGTGCATAACCCAAGAACAACACCAAGTTTGTGTTTGAGGTGGACCATTGGCTCTGCTTATGGCTGCAAAATAGGTGCATGTGGCCAAAGGGATGTGAATGCCTGTTCTGGAGTACTGCAGAGCTTGGGATGGAGGTTCCTGTGAGGAGGGGCTGCTGCAGTGATGTGGTTGGACGTGGAGATGCCCAGAATTTATTTGGTGTTTAGAGTCAGTCATGGGAATGCATTGGTTCTGTGTCTCCCAAGGGGTGAGGAGTTGGTGCTGGTTGGTTGTAGAATTGGAGAGTGGATTTCTTCAGTATGTGGATGTCAGAAGCAGAAACCTTGTTCCCATCAGCTGTGAACTTGCACTGTTGCTTCCTTTATACTGGAGGGCATGTGTCACCTGGGTAGGCTGACAAGTGAAGATCAAGACAAGTGGACAAGTTCCCCATGAGCCAGCAATGTGCCCTTGTGGCAAACAAGAACAATAGTGTCCTAGGATGCATTAAAAACAATGTAGCCAGCAGAGGTTCTCCTGCCCCTCTACTCTGCCCTAGGGAGGCCACCTCTGGAGTGTTGGGTCCAGTTCTGGGCTCCCCAG